CCCCCCCAGGGACATGGTCTCCCTCCTCTAGGGACATGGTCTCCCCCCAAGGACATGGTCTCCCCCCCAGAGACATGGTCTCCCCCCTAGGGACATGGTCTCCCCCCTAGGGACATGGTATCCCCCCCAGGGACATGGTCTCCCTCCTCTAGGGACATGGTCTCCCCCCAGGGACATGGTCTCCCCCTCAGGGACATGGTCTCCCCCCCAGGGACATGGACTCCCCCCCACCCAGGTTGACTGTGGCTTCTACATCAACAGCTGTGGGTCCAAACTCGGAGAGCTGGCCACGCTGTGGAGTGACTGAGGCAAGGCATCGCCTGACAGGGCCCTGGAGACACAGCCAGAGGGCTGGTTTGGGAGTGCTGGAAGACAGGGTCTACAGGACAGTGAGGAAGCCAGAGGTGTGTGGCTGGTCTGAACCTGGACTTTGACTGTGCGACACCTTTTCCTTCCCTGCTACCTCCCAACCGACTTCTTTAACAAAGCCCACAAGTTCTGAGATGCATGTTGGACCCTGTGATCAGGAGAAGCAGGTGCAGCAGGGTGGGGACCGTCTCACCACAGGATGGCTTTTAGACACTGGACGTTATCGGTGGGGACCGAAGCCCTTTGTGGAGTCAGTGGAAGTGGGACTTGGCCTTCCTCAAGCCATCCTTGCTCCTTACAACCCCACAGCCCCTCTCTGGAAGGTGTGCACGACACCGTGAACTTGCCTGCATGTTGAAGATATCAGGGATGTACTTCAGATGCCTGTCAGAGCCCAAGTTGGAGATGGCCAAGGTAAAAACCTGAGGACAAAGAGCACATGTCACCACACACAGGATGGAGCCAGCCCACTATCCAGGAGCTGCCCTGAATCCCAGAGACCCGGCATGTGCGAGGGCTGTGCACGCATGGTTTCTAGGTGATTGCAAAGAGACAGGTGCCAGGAAGACAGGACTGAGCTCTCTGCAGCCCCACACACGGCATCAATCACTACCTGCTGAGTGACGGGGAAGGGAGTTAGGGGTAAACAATCAGGAGTCCAGTCTAACTGACAGTGACCCTGGACAAGTCCACGCCCAGCGTCCAAGGCTCTGAATCCCAACGGGGCAGACCGACTCACCTGTCTCCTGGCTGGAGGTCTGAACCACCAATTGTTTGGTTAGCAGTACAGTGCTTAACCACTGTGCCACCAAGCTCCCTGAGTGACAAATGACAACAAGGAAATGGGATGTGAGGCTAACTGCCCTCACACCGCCCTTCTGGACCCTGAGACCAGAAGACACAGATGGGGCCTGGCAGCTGTGGCTGCAGGTTTGATCAAGAGTCCACTGAGGGGAGAAGGAAAAAGACAAAAAAGAAAAAAGAAAGGAGTGCTTGGAAGAATCCTCATCAAAGGGGGAAACACACAGAACAGAATCTCAAATTCTTAGCAGATCCAGACTTTGTGAAGCCATATGGTAGATGAACCCCAAGAACTACTGTTCTGAGGCAGTATTTTAATGAAATGTCCTCCAGAAGAAATAAGTGCACAGTCTGACCTATGCGGATTGTAATTACTGATATGGAACAGGAGAAGCATGACTGATTAGGGGGGAAAGCTAACAAGATGGATTGAGACAGACTTCCATAGTGGGCTCAGGTGAATCAGAGACGATGAGGAAGGTGTGAGACAGGGCAGAGTCAGATCTGCCGAGCACAGGCTCAGACACGGCCAGAACAGCATAGGGCAGAATCAGATGTGCTAAGCACAGGGTCACTACGAGTCCTACTTGACTCAGCAGCACCTAACAAAAAGAAAGAAAGGTTTTCACACAAACAGAACAAGAGTGGAGGGTTGAGAAGGGTGAGAAGGGAGGACAATGGAGGTAGAGATCAGTAGATGGACGGGTGGGTGAAGGGAAAGGCAGGGAGGGTACAGGGAAGATTTGGTGTGATGTTGAGATAAATGACACTAATCTATTACTGTCGTGCAATAAATGTAATTAAGTGATTGAATGAAAACCAATAAAATAAGAAAATACAGAACTTTCTGAAGTAATCGAAATCTAAGTTCAGCTCAAGTGGGAAGCAGGTCTGTGTGGGCTTTAAGGTCTTTCAGGGCTACGGGTGCAGTCCAGAGTCAGCTATGCGCTCAGCCCAAGGCCAGGCCTCTGGAGGCTCAACTGCCCCATCTGCCGTGAACAGTAAACGTGGAAAGCCTCCTCCCCTGCAGCTAACGACCCGGGAACCTGCTGCAGGGGAGCACACACAACCATAGTGAGCTTTTGTTTTATATGAAATCAAATGACACCACCAAACTGGAAGGGCAGACCTCAGAGGAGCAGCAGGCCCTCGGAGCAGGGAGACTAGCTGCAGACCTCAGGAGCAGCGGGCACTTGGAGCAGAGGCTGCAGACCTCAGAGGATCGGGGTCCTCGGAGCAGAGGCTGCAGACCTCAGGAGCAGTGGGCACTCGGAGCAGGGAGACCAGCTGCAGACCTCTGGGGAGCATCAGGCTTGTATCAACAGGGAGGAAAACTCAGAGCAGGGACACGAGACCAGCTGCAGGTCCCAGAGCAGACCACTGACCTTGCTGGGCCATAGGTGTGGGGCGGGTGAACAGGTACATGATCTGCTGTGTGCGTTCTTAACACCACCAACACACACAAGTTGCAGGACACTGATGTAAAAGCAGAGCACTGCTCTCCTGGACATCACAGTGTGGGGACAGTCCTGCACCGTCCATGGGGCCTCAGTCTCGTGTTGCACACATGGGGACCATGGGGCTCTTGGAGGGGGGCTCTCCAGTAGCATCAACAATGACCCCAGGCTGACTGACCCCCAGTACAGACCCTGGGCAAGGGGCTCAGTCAGTGGTGAGGCCTGGCTGCCCAAGTCCAGCTACTTACAGGACTGACTGTGAAGTAGTGGGAAGAGACCTTGAGGGTCTACGAGCAACAAGGAGACTCGCAGGGGGTGGGAGAGTGCGGAGAAGGGGGGAAGGGGATAGGAGGGGAGGGGAAGGAAAACGGGGGAGAAGGGGAGGAGGAATGACAGGAGGTGAGGGAAGAGGGAGAAGGTGAGAGGAGGTGGAGAGGAGGGAGAGGAGGTGAGGAGGAGGTGAGGGAGGAAGAAAAGGAGGTGGGGAGGAGGGAGAGGAGGTGTGGGAAGAGTGAAAGGAAGTGAGGGAAGAAGAAGAGGAGGAGGGAGAGGAGTTGGGGAGGGGAGGAGGAAGAGGAAGTGAGAGGAATAAGGAGAGGAGGTGGGGAG